AGTAGTCTCATTTCCATAATGGACTTACTCAAGTCACTGTTTCATGGTTCTCAGCTTTGGCTTCCTTCCCCAAGCTGCCGAAGGGCACATTGTGCCCAAAAGCTTGTCTAACCACCTCTCAACTATATTCAGTTGGTCCAACAATACGTATTGCCCCCAACCACTAGCTTCCCAGAAAAGGGGACGTTCCAGATTTTTAGGGACAATGCCTGCTAATTATCTAAAGTACTTCTGGTCTCATGTAAAATCAAGTGTTCTTTCTCTCTCTTTTGACTAGATGCCAAGAGAAAGCTGAACATGAAAAAACCCAAGGGCTGGTGAATTCAGCTTAGATAAGATGCTGAAACAGAAAGGTTTTGGTTCCCACAGCACCTTCCACTTGGGTCACAGCAGGCCCAGTATTTTATGGCTGGCTTTCTGCAATGTTTAAGATGGCTAAACCTTAATGTTCAGCGAGTTTAATGGTCTTCATCTGAGCAGCGCCCGGGATAAACGCGCTAGACAGCGCTGTTGTTTGCCTATTAAAATTTTGCAAGGCAGACATCCGGCAGACGCCCCACGTACCGCATAGGCACCATCCTCCAGGCAAGTGAAACCACGGGAGGTCAGCCTGTTTGTGTCTGCAGAAACGCAGAATCCAGTCCATTAGCTGCACCACAGACTCCTTAACTTCTGGCTCCTCCTAGCTTCAAAAGTATATTCCGGTGCAAATGCTAAGGAGTTTAGGAGACATCTTGCTGGATAAAACACCCCCTCTGCTCACAATCCCAAGAACAGGGACAGTGTGGTGGCCCTCTGCTTGCAGGCTCTGGCTGCTGCAGCAGGGGAAAGCCAGGCAGGAAACCAGACTGCAAGTACAAACATGCAAAATTAAGATGGAAAATGAGATCCTAAACAGTTCTGTGCATCTCAAAACCAGAGACTCACTTGGTATTACCCTGAGAAACACACAGGCAATCCAGGAGTGTAACCGGGCCATCTTTGGTGTTGCACAACTGTCCATTTATGAACAGTTGTAACTGCACAGACATAGGTAATCCTAAAAGGTGGGGAGCAAAGGCAGCAGCTATGCTACAGGCACTCTGTGGCCAGACAGTATTCCAAGATACCTCAATACTCTACCTAATTCATGAGCCACTGCGCAAAAGGGTGCAAGTATGGGAAAGGGCTGGGAGCTCCCCAATTGTCTCAGAACTCAGAAAGAAGAGCGAGCAGCACCAGCTAGTGGAGAATGGAAACGCTGCGGCTTAAAATCCACTGCAGCAGTCTTGACCCGAGTTTCTCCCCACGGTATGTCTGACCCAGCTGGATGGCGCAAACCCAGGACCTGGTGCTTGCTCCCCGAATACTGGGGAGCCTCCAAGCTCTAGGAACAGTCCAGGTTTGTGTAAGCTGTGCAATGGAGAAGTGTAAGAACTAGGCCAGGCATTCACTCAAAGGAGGGCAGCCTAACCCAGCCGTATCCGATTCCAGCCCGATTCCCTGCCTACCTCGCTCGTATTTCTGAGTGCTCTTGCGAGGGGGGGATACCTGTACAGACAGAAGCAGCGATTTGTCCAGTGTCATAAAGGAGGCCCAAGGCAGAGCAGGGAATAGAGCAGAGGGCCTCAGTGTGCCAGTCCAGAGCCCGCCCTACAGAGAAGGGACTAGCGCAGGACTCTGTTCCAAGCTCAGTCAGGACGTATCCAACCTCATGCAAGGTACTGCAGCCCTCTGTCAAATCTCTTGCACTATTCAGGACTCCATACACGCTAGCTGTCATGTGCCATTGCACACACACATTAAAAGGATGCAAGAGGAAAACACGTTAGTATCACACCAAGAGGCTGAAATGGATGGTTATGTGGCAGAGATGACCATGCAAAGCAGAATGAAAGGTATGTGCAAATGTTTCTGGCATCAGCTTCTTTTTTCTTTAAACCGCCTTTCAGGAGATCTGCTCTATTAGCCACGAATCCTTGCAAGTTTTGCCTCAAAATGTTAATAGGCAGCAATGCCAAACTGCAGATCCATGAAACGCAACCAGAGAGAGCTAGGAAGAAGGAAGAATTTTCTCTTTTTCTATCTGTCCTTAGCTACAGCAAGGATGACTCTACTTCCGTGTACAAGTCTCACACTTTTAGGGGTGAAGGAGGAAGAATCTCTCAGATACCAAGCACAAAAACCCAAAGTAAATCTACAGATCGGGCTATGCAGCAGTATATCACACATCCTTACAGCAGCCATCCATTAATAACGAGGTTTCCGAAGCAGAAGTGAAAGCAGGGACTCTGATATTTCAACCTAGTTTCTCTTTCCAAGTACCTGAGAGCAAAAAGCCTATAATTCATACTCCTTAGTCTGTGCCCCAGCAAAGAAGGTGGCTAGCAGCTACTGATGCTCCTTAGGATACACCGTGAATGCACAAGTGCTTTGCAGTACAAATGCCGCTGCCCTGCCTGCTCTAGAGCTCTTACGAACCAAGGCAGGGTGAGATCAATACCAGACCCCAAGTAAGCGGGAGGAAGAGGTCATCAACGCCACAAAGCTGGTTGGATAAGTGTTACACAGCTGGGAGGTTTGCCGTGTTATATGGAGCCTCTGGAGCAGCTGTGTGGTGAGATTACACGGAGCCTTCCTCTTGTCAGTGGCCGTGTCACCATGTGCATTTATGCCGGCATAAATTTACTGCACGCTAAATTACTGCGCAGTAAGTGGGAATAGGCCAGCATCTACACGTGCAGATGTTAAAATGCATCAGTGCTGTGTAAGGACTAACTTAGGACTAAAGCTAGCCCTCAGTTAGTCCACAACACACAGTGTTACTGCACAATAAAGGCATTTACATGTGCGTTACTGTGCAGTAACTAATCCGGTGTAAATTTGATACCTGCATCCTGCGGGTATCAAGTTTATACTCAAGTTGGCATAAGTCACCATATTTACTGTGCAGTACAGGCATGCACATGTAGATGTGTGCCCATACTGCGCAGTAACTTCAGTTACTGCACGGTAAATGCGCGTGTGTAGACATGCCCGGCGAGTGCTATAGTGCAATCTCTTTTTCCAAGTGTGTTTTGCACCCCTCGCTGTCTTCCCTGCAGGACTCTCAGGCTCTAAGCCCAGGCTTTGGGAGTCCTCCCAGAGATTCCCACTGCCTGAGGTCTTTCTAACTAGAGTAGCTCTAAAATCCCAAACACTGAGATTTCCACAGAGAACATCAAACACAGGACCAACCAGAATCAGAAGAATCAACATCCTGAATATCAGGATATTCAACTGCCCTTCAAGCAGAGCTGCAAGTTCCACTTATCAGGCAAGGTTGGACTCAAGGTTGTGTGTCCAGCCCTATGACCAGCAAGGGGTACGGAGGCAAGAGAGATACAATTCAGGGTGCTTGAGAAGGGGCAATTGATCTCCATCACAAAAGCAGCCTCAATTCAACTCCTTATTCCTATCTGGAAGACACTCCAATCTTGTCCAGGTTGCTGAGTGAGTTCTTCACAGCCCAGGACCTTTCAATCCAACATGGATGTTTGACTTGGGTCTCAACATTTGTATGGAAAACCTGAGCACATTAAATACTTACTAGTTATTCGAGTCAGAACCCCCTCCCACCCCACCCCTGCTAGCGACTGGAGTGTCCAACACGCTTTACCAAAGAAGGGCCCAGCAGCAGCACTTCAGTCGATGGCAATACATTTTTCCCTAGGTACCCCCTTCTTCATTAGGACTTCAAACCAATGTTAGCATCCTCTTTGTTCCCCTTTTTCCTAATTCCCACACCCACAACTTGCTTCCAAGACCAACTTAGAAAGCAAACACACCACCACATTTTCACTTCCTATTGTGCCTGCTGGCTTTACAAATGCCAGTTGAGTGCAGGGTGGCTCAAAGAGGGTGCACAGGTGGGTCTCAATTCCTGCATCACTGAAGCCTGTGGCTGAAAGGGAAGTTACAAAACAGAAGACATGAGGTGGGGACCAAGAGAAAAGCAATTGCACCCATCCCACCTGCTCAAGATACATGGGCTGTAATTAATCTGCTAAGAGACATAATTTTATGTTCTATATAAATAGCCAGCTTCCTTCCACCAGAGGAATTACTATACTCAGAGAGCATATTGGCCTAGCAAGCCAGACACTTTTTCTAGTACCTCACAATGGAGGTACTAAATTTAATGCGCATTAGCAAAAGCACATTAATGAACATGTAGATGCACCCTGTTTGTAGCTGACATTTTCAGCCCTGCTTTCCAGATGAAACGGGCACACAGATTGCTTTGGGGAGAGCCTTCATTTCCTACCCTCTCAAGACTACCCTTCCTTTCCCTGACAAGCCAGGTCCAGGATCTAAAAGTTTCCGTCCGAATAATCACAGTGCTTAAAACTAGACAGCAGCCTTGCAACACATTGATTGTACATATGCAGCAAAATGACTCCAGGAGAAGGCAAGATTTCCAAAGCCATTTTAACGCGTGTTCAGAGTCAAAGCTAATAGCCATGCCAAAGTCCCCGGAAGCAGCAAAAGAAAGATGCCAATTTTCTTTGCACATACCCTAAACTGAAAGCAAACAGGAAAGAGGAGGTGGCAGCTCAGTGTACCCCAGGATAACATCATGCCCCAGCTGACAAAGTGCTATTGTCTCTGGGCTCGCCCTGCAGGGCTGTTCCAACACTAGGCCATTATGTATTAGTTTAGGCTGGTAGGAAAATCGTTCCGCCCCAAGGAAAGGAAAGAAATGCAAAGCTGTTGAAGAAATCACTGACATTTCACCCTGATCCCCTTAGCTTTTGATTGTCAAGGCATTGTGGTATGGTGAGCAAAAGCAGCATGCATTTCTGGTTAATAAGGAAGTGTTCTTGGTAAGATGGAGCTGGGCTGGTGGTACACAGCACTGCACACCTCGTCTGTCCCCTTTCACTCAAAACAAGAAGCCACACAATCTATGGAGCTCTGAGATGCACCACAACTAAAAATGATTGCAGGTAGCCAGCTGGTGAGAGAGCTTGGGTACTCACTCCGGCCAGTGACTTCTGGATATTCTCCCTGGCTCTGGCAATGTCACGTAGGATCGTGCTGGCTCCGTTCTCCTGCAAACAGTGCAGAAAGAACCAAGATTCTTTTAAAAAATACGAGACATGATAAATTGCTGAGGGCAGTTACAGAAAGGGGGGAAAGGCTGAATTCTGTGCAACCATCAACCGAGTTTGAAAAGCCACCTGTGAGAAACATCAGCTGAGAACCAAGACTATGGTCCTGCCAACTACGGACTGCAATGGCTGCAGCTTATTTTTGGGTCCTGTCAGACTATGGCTTCTGTCCAAAGTTTGAGCGCCCACCAGCTATTTGCTTCTCCCTAACATGACTGACAGGTTGGCTCAGCTGCCATTTGGAAAGGAGGCTGGGATTACAGTAGCACACCCTTAGAGCTCTGGTCAGGCAAGCCATTTCCCTTAAATTTATCTGTGAATGCCACGCAAGCGCAAGGCGTCACACTGACAGCCCTAGCGACAGAAGTCTTCTAGTTCTGCCCAGGCAGCGACAGAACAGATTTTCCCCGCTTAGATGCTGAGTCTGCTCCTATGCTGGAAACTCAGCTGCATCCAACCTACTGGACTCTGAGGCCACCACCAAGGGCACCAATTATTATAAAGCAGCGGGTTCTCCATTGTGGACCTCTTCCCACTGGAAGCGGACAAAGACCCCCAAACTCATTTCATGCAGGACACAGATAATCTTGGGTCAGCGCAGGTGAGGAGGAGATCTGCACACTTCCAGACTCAAGACAAATGTTATGAAGTTTGCAGATACTTTTCCTTCTGGGGGGAGAGTGCTGTGAAGCATTCAGGTTTTCTGCCAGACAGCTGGATTTCATGTCACTTCTTGCAGGCAGAGTCTCACCTCCCCTAAAAGTTCCCCATGAGCCATGTAATAATTTGACCTTTCCCTCCCTACCACAGGTGACAGAGGTTCATGCTTCACCCACGGCCTCAGGGCTTTGCACATCTATTGTAGGAACATCAACTCTAAACAAATGCTGCAGAGAGCAGGTGCTACCACTATGCCAGTGAAGCCAGCAGAAAGGCAGCAGAACATGCCTGGAAGCTACTATTAAAGCAATAAGCTTTGTTTATACGCCCTACCCTGCTAGTTGCAAAACAGCCATTTAATGTTTCAAGCAGCTTTCCACATAATTAAACCCATATGCAGTTAACAGTCCTTTGTGTTTTAAGAAGGGGTCATTGCCTTGCTGCCATCTACACACTGATCTAATTGAGAGAGCAGATTGCACAGGAAGGGAAGCGAAAGCTCCGCGGGCTACTTCATGCTGGGATTAGTGTTTGATTCCCACCCTCCTGCCCCCGTGCTCATCACTGCTGTTTGTCAGAGGACTGTCTCACCCTGGGGCCTGCTGGAAAGGGAATGCAGTTTGGTGTCCCTGGTGCTCTACCATCCCTGTGCTGCCTGGGGCCACCCAATTTCCAGCCCTGCCTTGCAAACAGAAGGCTGGTTATTCCTGAGCCTTGACAGAACAGGTGAGTGTCATCGTGAGAATTACAAGTTTCACTCACGTATGCCAATTCCTGGCCTAGCATCCCACGGCACCACCATGCCTGATCTCCAATTTTCAAGCTGGAATGCAAATTGCCTACTATGAACACACAGATCCCACTTGGTGCCTATAACACATCCGAGGAGTGGAAGAGGCAATGGGTTGTAAGCCGTTAACTCTCCACTTCTGCTCCCTATAGTCACTCACTGGATAAGGGCACGTTTCCTTCAGATGTACCACAGGTCACTGAGTTTTGAACCCAGGGATTCATAAACTGCACCTTCTGTTAACGCAGGAGGGTCCCTCTAGCAATTCTTTGCCGTCCACAGAACAAGAGGGAACATGGAGGCTGGCTGGGAGAGTCCAAGAGGAAAATCCCTTCCAAAATCATTGCTGCCTGGCCTTTAGACACACATACAGCTACGAAGGGTCATTCTTTACAGGCTAATCTCGGACTCCACCACCCTGCAGAAATAACTCCCTCGCTGTCTTACCTGCTGGCATGAAGAGCTGGCAACCGGTCCGTTAATCTGCTCGTAGTATCTCCGCTCAGCATCGTCATACTTGTACTTATCAAACCAGATCTTCTCATGCATGAGGAAGTTGGCTGCCATTTCTCTGCAGAGAGAGATGGGACAAAATGAAGACGTGGGAATATGGGAAGGCAGTGGTTAGCATCCAGTTAGTTGAGAACGGCCCTATTTCCCCGCTTCCCACAGGGCAATACATTTCTGCACAGCCGCTTCCTCTCTGGTGAAAAGCTTTAAGCAAATGGGATCCTATTAGGAAAGCAGGACAATCTAATCACCTTCCCATCTGCCTGATCTGACCTGCATTTAGTAACAGCATGAAGCAGAGACCGGACACGTTAGTCTGCCCTTCCCTCCCATGAAAACAGCAGCTTCACCAGGATCACGCTAGACACAAATCAGGCAACACAAGTGTTTAAACTGTGTTATTTGTCACAGCTCCCTCGGCCCACGCTCAGAGACCACTGGCCTAAGACACCCGTGCAGACTTGGGCGTGAAGTGAAGGCAGGAGACTAAGCACAACTTGTGCTGCGGACAATACCAAGTACAGAGAACAATACCGCACCCCTTCTCTATGGGGTACAAGCCACATTACCACTGTGTTTTATCCAAATGCATTATGGGGAGCAAGTCTAACACCTAACTCTTCAGCATACTCCCATCAACCCACTGCAACCCTGCCCGCTTGTGAACCAGAACCATGCTGGCTCCAACTATGCTGACACCCTCCCGTGGGCAATGCAAGCCCAGTTCTGGGCAGGACCTTGCTGAGCATGATACAGAGCCACACGGCCCCATCCTGACCGGGAACCCCACAACAGGACCCCGCACGACCCTAGCAAAGGGGATGCCAGCTGAAAGCCTCGTTCCAAATCACAAAGACAGCGCAGTCAGGTATCTATGCAATGACCCTGCGGCCATTTAGAAATTAAGTTTATGCTGCTAGGGAAAGCTTCCCCCTAGCACTTTTCAAGTCACCCACACTCCCAACTCGACTGGTTCCCAGAGGGGTAGCAGGATGCCTTAACATGGCTGTGACAAGAGGCTAATCCACTATTTTGCACATGGAAACAATGAATTCGGGGGCAAAAGGGTTAATTTGCAATGACACCATTAAACCGCTTTCAAAGGCTGTTTTATATGCCAGTGGAGGATACAGGGCCCACTGCAGGTGGACTGCAAGAGGGCAGTTAATCTCAAGAGAGAGGGCAGATCAGGTGAAGGCAGGAAGAAAAAAGGATTCACAGGAGCGTCTCAGTGAAGCGTCGGCATCTGGCTGCATTAACAGGAAGGCAACAACTAAGGAGTGGCAGCCAACGCAAGGGGCATCGATTCTATTCTAATGCCGTTAGGTTTTCTGGCAGGCTGCACAATCCTCCGCTCAAAAACTCCAGGCGACTGACTTGTGCTTTGCACTGTACAGCTGTACAAACATCTGTCCCAACACCCACCTGCTCGGGAAAAGCGGAAGCAATCTAAAGACACCGCTACCGTATTCTATCATCCCTTTCCAACATTCGCGTTGCCTCCGCAAGGCTCCTCTGAAATACTGTCCAGATTCACATACCTTCAGGAACCAAGCACAATCCTAGCTGTGCACAGGATACTGCATCGGACATTGCACCTTTTGTACCGACACAAAGACTTTATTTCATGGGTAAGAGATGTCCAGATGCACCTTTTCTTGTTTCATCCAGCCCGAGGGAAACTATTCAAACAGCAGGACTCCTCAGGATCAGATTTCCCTTCCAAGAGATCTATGCTCTGAATAATTTAGCACCGCTAAGCTGACTCCTACCTGAGAGCTACAAAGCAAAGTCTACGTATTGGCCCCTGGATGAGCGCGCTGACCAGCTCCAAGTCAGAGAGCAACACGGCCCAGGAAATTAAGAAGAGTTTCAGGTTAAACAAGAAACTCACAATGATGTAAAAGTCAAGTAGAGAATGGGGTGGGGAGCTGAAATGCTGTTCTGCACTCATCTAAAACAAAGGACTTTTAAATATTTCCAGCCTTTAAATAGAAGTCGACTACAGGTTTCCCTCACCAACCACTGGGGTTGGGGTTCCTGAGCCTTGACAGAGCAGGTGGCCACTCAAAGCTGTATACCGTGGTAGCCAAAATGGTATCTGGAATATTAAGCGTGGATACTCAAAACTGTGGCTGGCGAGGGAAACCTGTATTATAATTAGACTCTGTCCAGGACTAACTGCCTTCATTTTTACATGCCTTTCCCTTCCCTGACCCTGTTTTTATTTGCACAGCAGATGCCTTTTGATCTCCATGTTGAACAGCTTTCGGATAAAATGACTTAACAGCTGGGCAAAGCCAGCGCCCCCCACAGCCACGCAGAGGGATTGCCTGTTACCTCCAGCGTGAAGCATCGAGTCTAAGACTCGATGCTCCTCGACAGACCGAACACACGTAGAGCCACCGAAACGTAGCCATCTCTTGGGTGGAGGTCAGCAACAAATGTCCAAGACACCCGAGGCCAGGTCCTCCTCTTGTGAAGGGGGCTGTGATATTTTTTAGGAGTCAAGCAAAGGCAAAGGTGGGCCTTCCCCCGCTATCCCCAAGAACAGCTATACAGCAAACTGCCTAAAACTCAGTTTAGCAACCCAAGAAAGATAAAGGGCTGCATCTCCACTGTTCAGCTTGCAGAGCAAGGTGGAATTGGGCAAGTGGATGAGGGCCAGCGCACGGGACCCAGGGCCAAGTGCTCCTAACCCAATAATTTGTCCCCAGCTGACTTCGTGCCCTGGGGCAGGGGGCTGGATTCAATGATCTTCCGAGGTCCCTTCCAGCCCTAACGTCTATGAAATCTATGAGTTTTAATAATAAAATGATGATTTTATCATATCCCCCCTTGACTTCCAGCTCTCCGAAACCTCAACCAAGCTGGCTGACATCTCGGAGCCCATCTATCAAAGGCTAGTACCTACCTAGCTCCCACGGGCACTGAGGGGATTAGCTATAGCAACTCATCACAAAGCTGAATTACTTCACAAAGGAATCGTCTCCTCAGTCTCCCTGCCCAAAAAGCACGGCCTGTCTAGGTTAAGGGGGACCTTTGACCCCTCCCCATCTCCTCTATCTGCACATGCTTTCCATCCTGGCCCAGCAGTTTTGAGTTGGAAATGTTACCCCAGAACAAGCTTTTCCTACTTAATTTCTGTTGCGGGCGAGCTTGAGGCACCGGGCGCAGGTCGAGACGGTTTGGGTAGCGTGCACTTATGGACCCGGGCTTCCTCCTCTTTGCTCGCCATTCTCGAGGCCTCGGACACATAGTATCGTGCCTCGGCGCTGTCGTAGGCGGGTTTATTAAGCCACAAAGACTCGCTGTCCTCATGCAGCAGGAACCGGGTTGGGGAAGGTTGTTTGGCATCTCTAGGAAGGGAAGAGTTGGCGGCGATGATCTCCACGCGTTTGACCCCTGCTCGTTTCCCAATGCTACCGCTTTTCTTATCCTTCCGGCTCTGCTTCAAGGCCTCCGGGCGGCCCTGTTCCTGCGGCCTCACTTTTCCAGGAGGATGCCCATCAAACATGTTCTCGTAGAAGCACTTCTCGGCATCGTCGTAAAGCGGTTTCTCCAGCCACACCTCCGACATCAAAGCTTGCAGGCTCGACATCAGCGGCTTCCCTTTTACGGACTGGTGTCCAGGACTGGGTAAGTGGCTGACGAAAGAGGCAGAGGTGGCTGACGAAAGAGGCAGCTGGAGCCACATCTGCAGGCAGGCCTGGCGTGGCAGGGGTAGGCAGGGCTGTAACGTAGCCTTCGTCTGGCGTTCTTTGCCCCGCGTTACTAGTGCCGCTGTTCGATCGGAGGTCTAGGAAGTGCGGAGGAACAAAAGACTGAGACCTTTCAACAAACGCTTTCTCGGCATCATCAAAGTCAAACTTGTTGATCCAGATGTCCTGAATGATGTGATGACAAGCAATCAGGCTGCCATGGGTGCAGTGCAAGGCGGCCAGGTTTCTCCTGCCTGTAGAAACTTCCTGGACAGCCTCTGCCCAGGGCGCCAACGCGGACGGCTCAACAGCCAGCTCCGTCTCCGAAGCCGCCTGGCTGAAGTCATCCGCGAGTTTCTTTCTGTACGCGTTTTCGGCACGATCAAAGAAAGGCTTCTCGAACCACACGCGATCGGCTAATAGACCCGTCAGCACAAAGTCTACCTTGGAGACAGAGCCCTTTGCTTTTGGCGAGCGCTTCCTTTTCTTTTGCTTCTTCCCATTTCTGGCTCTTTTCAGGTCTCCTTTCAAGTCGCTCTCCGCCGAATCTTCATGGCACACCCCATTCACCGCCTCCACCTCTACTTCCACTTCCGGGCATCTTTCTGGGGCTGAGGCTGCCAGCGTTGCTTCTCGTTCGTAGTGCAGACGCTCTGCTTCGTCATACTTGTGCTTGTCCACCCAGACCTTTTCGGCTGGGTACGGGAGGTTCCTCGTCCTCATCTTCCGAAGAGCGGCAGCATTAAAAGACAAGCACAATCATGTAGTCGCATTGTAACTAAAGCCAACGACATGCACTAGATTTGAAGCCTGACAGTGATCTAAATAAGCCACCCCAAGATCAGGATTCATGTACTGAGAAATGGTCCCCCATATTATTTAATTTCCTTTTGCATAAACATTTTTGCATGAAGGAACTGAGCTCTGTGTGTGTGTTTAATCCAAATGCAAAACGGACTAGATTTTCACTCCTCCCTCACCTACCTTTTTAATCATCTACTTCCAGGTTTATTCCTGCCATACTATAGCTGTAGTAAGCCCTCAAGACATAAAAGCCACGAGCCCTATATGGTTCATAATTTAAAGCACAATTATCAGCTTAGACTAAACAATCATTTTATTTTCAGAGTTTTACTGTCTAAGAAAGGTATCCAGGTTATAGTCGTATTGGTCTAGAGGCTAATGAACTGCTGGCAGAGGTGATATCTTTTATTAGATCAACTAGATGTTTGCAAAAACAATTATTTGCAAGCTTTCAGGCACAAGTACCCTCCTGTCTAGGAAAGAGTATTTTTCCCAAATTGCCATCTGTCAAGTGCCAAGCGCACACCAACTGCTGAAACTTCCTGAGCCTGACCAAGGGTTTTTGAACCCGAAAGCTTGCTTAATAACTCTTCTCCAACCATTTGGGTTGGTCTAATAAAAGATATCAAATTCACCCAAGGAACCTTGTCTGCCTATGTCCTTAGACCAACACGGCTACAACCTACACCCCTGCAACATACAGACTAGATGATCTTAAATGGGTATTTTTGGAAGGCTTAAAAGACCTTAAAGCCATTGCTTCATGTAGGATATACCATGTATTGTGAACTGCTGCTGTGACACCAGAATTTTTAGAGCATATGGAGATTATTTCCAAATCTGTACAAGGTTATCGGAGATGAAGCAGGTTTATGGGCCCTTTTATATTAAAAACATCTCTCAGTGAGAGATTTAACTGAAAGATCCCCTTTCCCTCAGTGTGCGAGGCTACTGATAGACTGGACTAAAGTTATTTATTAGGACAACAATTCACTGGCTTTTGGGATGCACATGGGAAGCTTAAATATGTTGAACCCAACTCTGACAGTTACTGGATTTCAGTTTAAAACCAACTGCTTCTTAATAAAAAGGGACCAATGCTAACAATTTAAGGGTTTTTTTGCTTAACATATATTTTAGGGAAAACGTCCTATACAAAGAAAGTAGAATATGGCATTTGCTTTGCGTACGCCGTCTTGTTATGGCTATTTAGAGCACAAGACATGCTGAATTAAGTCAAATTTAGCTTCCAGGATACCTAAATTATCCAACATAATATGGGAAGAGC